CCTTTAACACATACTTGGCCTGGTGTCTCAAAAAAAAAAAAAAAAGAAGTTCAGAAGCATGAAGACTTCTGGGAACTATAAGTATGAGATCAGAAGCATTTAAGCAATTGAGAGCAAAGTGAGATATTATTAAATATAAAGGGATCAAAGTGTATTTTACACAAAAAGTAAGGTCTTTAAGACACTATTAATTCTTGGCGCGCTAGTTAGCTGTGGAAACAGTGGTCGGTCGTTGGAGATGTTTTATTGATCATTGGAACCGCGCGTTCAACATTTAATACCTCTGTTCATGAACACAGTCTAAATTATATTTTTAAAAAGTTTAATTTTTTTATTAAAAATAATTTATTTTTATGTTTTTAAATTATTCTATTACGTTGATATAAAAAATATTTTTTAAAAAATAAAAAATATTATTTTAATATATTTTTAAATAAAAAATATTTTAAATTGTTACTGCAATTACAATTTCAAATAAATTCTAAAAATAAAAAAATTAATTAAACTGTTTACTCAATTAAATTGTTTGGTTGGGTTTTAAAGTATAGAATTAAATTGAAATAATTAAATCAAGTACACTAAATTTAATGGAAACAGTCTCAAAATTAATTTTCCACCAACAACATGCAGGAGTACTGCCTCATGTCTTTATATTCAATTAATTCATGGGTTTTAATTCGGTGTTTATAATTTCACACTATCATAATTATCGGGTCGTTCAAGATTGAGATTTGAGAAATATATTGATAAATTAAGGATTTGAAAGTTGATTGATAATATAATAAATTAAAGTGTAATTTGAACTATTTCGTTTTCCCTTCCTCGATAATCTCAAAGGAAAATCTCTTCGGTAATAATTACTGAAAATTGTGGAAATTATTTTAATTCAATTGTATTAACTTTTGTTTTTTTCTATATAAACTTTTGATTTTTTAATTAAATATTTATGTAAGATTTTGTTAAATACATGTCTATATATATAATCATTAAATTGACACGTAAGCATGTTATTTAATTTGCTATGCTGTATAATTTTAATGTGTAATATTTTTTTATTATTTATTTAAGAATGTAAACTTTATTTGAGTGTCTATTCTTTAAAATATAACAATTATCACTAACTCTTCTAAAAACTAAAGCGCAATATTATGTTTTCGTGATAAGCCTTCCTTTATATATAAAGTCCACACTTCTTTTTATACATTTTTATTAAAATACATTATAATTTGTTTTATTTTATGCTGTACTATTAAACATAATTATTCACTTTATCTTTAGATATATGAAGTCAATTATATCGTATTAAGTCAATCTCTTTGCAGTTTTTTTTATTAAAAAATATATTAACAATGCTTAAATATTATTTTACATTAAAAAAAATTAATTTGACCCACAATATAAAATAAATAAATGATTTATTACTTCTTTGTATAAATATGATATATAACATTCTATTTATAAAAAAAATTTAATAACACTATAAGAGGTAAAATATTATTTTGCTCCATAAAAAATATCACACATATTATTTGAGAAATTTTAAAAATTTATTCAATCAAATCCCTACTAATTAGTTTTTTTAGTTCTAGAATTGTAATATTTTATATTAATTATACTCATGTTCTTAATTTCTAAAATTTATTTACAGTTAAGTTATAGTTGATTAATTATCTTAATTTAATTTCTAATAGATAGTTCTTAATGTAAATGACTCATTAGGTTTTTAATAAATTGTCTCAAATATAAATCACAATTCTAATAAAATATGATTCAAAAAATTAAATAATATAATTTATTATCAATTCAAAAAATTAATTAATTAATAATTGAAGATCAAGTATAATGTTTAGCAAAGTATCATGATCCTTAAATATTAAAAAAATCATATGTGGTTTGACTTAATATTTCAATGAACAATTTTTTGATGTAATTATATCATTTAATCAAAAATATTTTGATTTAGATATTATATTACAGAGTGTATCTAATTTGTCATATCATGTTTATTCTTAACATCATAGTCATTTATTTTTTTAATAATTTTTAATATATTTTTTTTAATTTCATTCCACATTGCATAAAAAGTTTCCAATTAATATTATTTAAGAATAAGTGAAACATTTTTTTAATTTATCTAAGGTGATGAATTATTTATTAATCACTCAAATACTTTCATAAAGTTTATGTTATACCTAATATTTTTCTATTTATTACTCTTAGAATATTGTATAGTCAAAATTAAAGTACAACATTCTTTATGTAAGATAATTTAGTGGTTTCAAGTTTAAGAATCACCCACACAACTATCATATGAAACTTTTCAAATACATAAATTATTTCTCCATATAAAATCTTTATGCAAGTCAGTTTAATACATTTATCACCTAATAAATATTTACATATTAGTTTTATATCTCAATTTATAAAAATAACTACTTTTTTTTCCATAAAAATAAAGAAAATGATATATATATATATATATATATATATATAAAATAATACTTTAATGAAATATAAATCTCATAACTATAATAATTTTATAATATTTTTATAAAATATTTTTATCCAATGACTTTATTTTTACTTTAAGTTTTTTAATCAAATATAAATAAATACTAAAGATAATGAGTGTCTTTAATGATAAATATAATTTTAATAAACAAACTCAAATGTTACAAATATATAACCTTGATTGCGAATCATAAATAAACAAACAAATTTTTTAACAAAGATGAGTTGTTTTGCAATATCAGTTACATGTAAAATGTTTTGAGTTTGAATTGCTTATTTGAGAAGACAAAGTAGGCGATCCAGTGTACTATTACCAATATTTAATATCTCAGAACTTTTATAATCGTCAGCCAAGCACACGCTTCCAATATCTAGCATGATGTTATTAGTTGCTGCTGTGTTAGGATGCCATTGAGGAGGAGGATATACTGATATATTTGCATCAGCATAACCAGCAAAATGGGTATGGTGAGCAGAAGGGAGTAGGCAACAGTGGTGCAGAATTGAAAGATGTGCTGTTGTAAGGCCTCTTGGCACGCTGGGATTCATAATTTCTCTTACATGTAGCTGCTGTGTGATTTTTTTCAGCCACAAAACTGGCATGGAACGCACTTTCTGTCGAAACGATTGTTCCTATTGGTATAGTTACGCCCTACTAAGTAATGTACAGAGTTGGAACCACCAGAATAATGGCTGCCAGCAGAATAGTTCATAAAAGAGTAATTACCAGCATTAGAAGACTGCTGAGATGAGGAGTCAGAAGAGTTGGATTTCAGAACCATATTGGCAGAAGGTTTCTTGTGTTTTGTTAGAGAAATATAAATTATGTCTTAAGTTTTCACCTAACAATTTAAACTTGAGTGGAGTAAAATTGTAAATTCAGAGTTAATATCTAAAACTTTTTTGCTTCTTAAAATTTTTATGTTTTCTATGCTATTCACTGCATCAAACCTCCTCAAAGATTGATGACAAAAGCAATGATAGCATTTGATCCTTCTGAAACCACTAGGTATATCCACCATAGACTTTTTCTTGTTAGGAATTTCCATGGGAGGGACTAGACACGTACCTTCTATGAAACTGACATGCCAGAAATTGAAGCACCTGAATTCTCTACTCAGCGAACTCTTCTACTGCCATGATTCCTGGGATTCATATCTTGTTCAAATTTAAACACTTCGTCTCTTACGTGAATTGGTTAAACTTGAGCATTGCACACTTAAAACATATACAGAGAAGAAGTTTAAAACTCTCAAATCTCTGGTTCTCTTGGTTCTTTTAACTTCTAAGATTGTAACAATTGAGCAAAGGCTCAAACTGTGTTTTCCATAGGATGTAATTTTTGTGGGTTAGTTCGATAGTAAAGGAATGGAATGGCTGTGATGAGAAAGTAGGTTGAGAAATGAAAAGAGCGGGAATAATTGAGGCAGTTGATGTGCTTATCCTAACGAAAAAGAAGTACGAAAAATTTAAGTACATCTTTTCAAAACCCATCTTCTGCATTCGTACTCGCAAATATCCCCGTTCTGTACGATCCTATGCCTTGCTCATGTCTAGCTTAAGATCAACTACCTCAATTATTCCCGAGATCAGCCCAGCCGTCGTAGCATTCTTGATAAAATGTGTAGTCTTGAAACTTGAAAGCAACTAAAATATTATCCGAGATCAGCCTACTCGGTATGAAAGCACTCGGATTAAGCAAAATAATTTTCCCCGAAGTAGTCTATAATCAGTCACGCTCTTGAGTTCTTTCATCATTTAAAAAATGAACAGCGTGTTGCGCATCTGTGATTGCCAATACCTCTAGATAGAAAGAGCAGCCATTCCATCTTGACTAGGAGCTTTAGTAGGATGCTTCTGATGAAGAGCACGTTGGATCTCCGCTACAGTGAACCACTTACATGAGAACTCATCTCATAGCTGGTGTGACCACAGAATCAACAGAATCAGTAAACCTGCGTTCAGAATCAATCTCTGAAGCCGCAAAAATGTCCCTAAAATACAGAACAAGAACACCCTCAATCTCATTCAACTGCGTGCACGACCTTCCCTCCTTACTCATAATCCCTGCAGCAAGATTGTGTTTTTTTCCTTTCACTTGCTTTCTTATTAAAAAAAAGGCGTTATTACGATCTCCTCCTTAACTACAGAGAACGGAACCTAAATATTGCCAGCTCTATACCCTTTCACTCTCTCACTCTCTATTGTCCATGATTTATTTTGAACAATTCTCCTCCTACATCAAATCTTCCTTGATAATCTCCGAAATTCAAGAATTCAGTTTTGGCAAACCAACTCATACAATTTTAAATTGGTTTCTTCCTTGGAGAACAATAAGGTAAGAAATCTTCCTTAGCCATATACCTCCCAACAATGTTCTTGTCACAACAAGCATATATACCGTGATCTATAGAGAATTTTCCATCTCTACATTTTCTTTTTGTCTCTTCATTAATTAATTTTTCACATTCTGTGTTATTACAAGAACCGTTATTGTTTCTTCCTTGAAATAGTAATTGAAGATCAATTTTTTTTAGCGGTATGCAAAGGTGTTGGCGTGGAATGTCGGCATCCAGGCGATGATGCATGGTGTGATGTAAATTTCGTTTGTGATGGGGAAACTCTCGCGATGAATTGTACTTATTTCTCAGACGCTTACTTGGAAACATTTCAGGTTGACAAGTTCAAGACCATGGAAGCAGTAGAGGGATGTGGCATTTCAGCCGAGTAGTGTGCAATATTTACAAGATGAGAACAGCAAGATTGTTCAAGGTAAGACAGTATGCTTTCGAGAATGATGAGCTTAAATTTTATGATGCATTTGTTGTTGAATTGCTCGATGAGAAACATAAGTTCGAAACTGCAGAGGAAGAGTGTTCTTGCAAATATGATTTAAAATGGCAACACCAGGTACAGTCAAATATTATTTAAGCTTCAATTCAGTATCGTCATCCATGCTTTAAATCATTAACCGTCAGCTAAATACTTAGGACATTATTATGCTAAGCAGAATGAGAAAACCACCTCCAATTAGGCCATGCTTTATATTCAATCCACGAGGACCGTGTACAAGAGGAGATAGGTTACTGTGCTTTTCAAAATTCTTCCATTATTGGACTGGTATTCATGACAACAGTATTCGCTGAAATGAAGTTGCAGCGTAATTAGCATTACCTCGTCTAGTCTTTCAACTTAAAAAGCCTACGAGCCACCTTTCATAGGTGAACATTCCAATTACTTGGAGGGGGGACTAAACTAGGCTGTCTTTGGCTGATGTAACAAACAAGCTTCTTCATTTCTCATAACCAAATATTGAAACTAGGAAGGTCTTCCACTTATGTTTGGGAATTTGATGCCTTTACATTATAAAATGCGACTCAAACTGCTGTTATCAACCAGATAAATTGGCATCCTTCTTCTTAATGATTTGATAAATTTATGACAGCTGGGGTGTTCACTACCATAAATCATGCTAGGAGAAGAGCTACGTCCAAAGTATGAAGAACTGCGATTGCAAATGACCAATAAGCCACGACAGAGGACATGCTTTGGCTTGCTAACTTATGAGTTATGACATTGAGAAATCATGGGTTGTTAGACAAAATGCAAGCATTAATATTCAGGAAAGTATTTGCAGCAACCCAGCAAAGTCCTCAAAGAACATCAATCTTTCATAGCCGCTGCACAGCAAGGCAAAAAGAGCAACTTCTCTGCCCACACATTGAGCATCAACAAATAAAATCAATTTCTTAGATGTTAATGACAAGCTTGATGACACCTTTGTTGGTGTGGACATCAACGGTGAAAAACAATAAATTGAGAAAAACAGAATTGAACAATCAATCAAGTTGAGCGATTACCTTAATATTTCCCAAATTCAAGCAATAAAATTGAATCTAAACTAGAGGGTTGAAACTGTCTAAAAATTACAACACTCCAAGGAACAAACTTACAAAAGAACAATCAAAAGAAAGAAGGAAAAAGGAATGGCAATCAAATGCATATGCCTCTTGGATCCATAACCTTAAGCAGTTAAGCTTTCTCTCAACCTCAATAAGTTTGGTAGTTTCTAGGCAAGCAATTGGACTACAATAATCCATCTTAACATTCACGTGTCTGAAAGGCGTCTTCAAATAACAAAAAGGCAAATTATGAAATAGGAGAAACTATTACCACCATTACTTCTTTCATCTATTCTATCTATGCGGAGCAGCATCCAACCTTTTTCACAGCTGATACATCATCTTTGCCGACAGTAATAGTCTGTCCCTTGGGCAAGGCTGCAGGATCATCCCCAACATCAAGAGCCTTCCGGCTGACTACACGATGAATCTGAGTGAGCACTTCAGTAAAAGCATTTTCAACATTCAAGGACTCTAGGGCAGAGGTCTCCATGAAAAAAGTATTTTCTCTCTCAGCAAATGCAGTGGCATCCTCAGTAGTAACTGCACGCAAGTGACGCAAATCTGCTTTGTTTCCCACAAGCATAATCACAATGTTTGAATCAGTGTGATCACGAAGTTCCTTTAGCCATCTCTCCACATTCTCAAAAGTGACATGTCGAGTGACATCATAGACAAGCAAGGCACCAACGGCTCCTCGATAATATGCACTAGTAATTGCACGGTATCTGTATCAATGAATAGAAACAATGATGAAAATAGGCACCCATATGATACAAGGATTCGAAATAATTCCGTTTCAACAAAAGATATCATGCTTGAAAGTATTTTTGTTCAATAAGAAAAGCAAGAAAAAGAATAGGTAACCATAGAAAACGTGGTTATATTCCAGACACTAGTGAGATAAAAGGTCTTATGATGACACAAAGCTATTACATTCTGCACAATTACGTGAAACATTAATCAAAGCAAAATGCAATAATTTTTCTTTTACTCTCCTTCTTTCTACATGTGCCAACAACAATTCATACAGGAGGAATAGATGGGGTCATACTCTATCTCTCTCAAAATGATGTTTTTATTTCCTGGAATGGATGCAAAATGAGGATAGAAAATCAAAAACAGAGATCAAATGGAAACACTGGACTATCATATTTCTTGCTCTCCCGTCTTTTACAATCCAAATCAGAGTTTAGCAGCAACTCAAAAACAGCCATTTGCTATCAAAACATCAACCACTTTGTAAAGAAAGGTGAAAACTTTGATCCGTTCTCAAGCAAATTTTATACCTCCAAATAAAACATTTAGGCATTTCTGTTCCTAACATTTTCGGCATGAGAGACTAGATCCTAGGGGCCATTATTTGCACAAAAAACCCATTTTCATGTGGTATGTTTTCCATCCATGTCAACAAAAAAAGATGAAGAAGTCCATCAACTACCATAATGGCAATCTACTAAGAACCCTTTCAACCATCAATATGCAAAACACTTATAGTATCAAAAACCCAAATAAAAAAAATAAAGAAAAAGGAAAACTTTGAAGCATCAATCACTTAAGGCATATAGATCTGATACACCCAAATGCAAATGTCACAAAACAAGAAGAAACCCATCTTAGAAAAATAGAAAGATACAGAGATCAAGAAGGTTTGACCTTTCTTGGCCAGCAGTGTCCCAAATCTGAGCTTTGACAACTTTATCATCAACATGGATACTACGAGTGGCGAATTCAACTCCAATAGTGGATTTGGATTCCAAACTGAATTCATTTCTTGTAAATCTTGACAAAAGATTGGATTTTCCAACACCAGAATCACCTATCAACACTAACTTGAATAGATAATCATAGTCATCATCTGCCCTGTAAGCACCCATTTGCTTTGCTAATTCTCTTGTTTTTGTTATATGGGAAATGAAGTTGAGAGATAAAGGTTTGGCCTTTCTGTGCTGTGGACTTGTGGGGTTATATGTGGATCTGTGTAGAGGTTTTGAATTTTAAAGTGGTGAACATTCTTTGATTTTTGTTTGAGAGGAGGCTTGATAATTGTACTTTAACCATTCGATTTTTTAGATACAAATTTTTTATGATAGTATTAAAAAACTCACTTGTGAATTTTAAAATAATTAATTAAATAATAAAATATTCTTTCAAAATCATTATGATACTCATAAACAATAAAAAATGAAATTACCGATAATACTACTAATAATAATAATAATAATAAAGAAGCTTTAAAACATTTTTAAAATTAATAATTTAACAATCTTATAAACAAAATTATGTCTTGAACACTGTTTCTGTTTTCTCGCATTCATTCATTCATTCTATTTATTTATAAATTAATTAATTTAGGTTTTCTAAAAGTTATTTTGAAGTTCTTGAGCAAATTTACAGTTGCCCTAAATTATATATATTAGCTTATAGCTTTCTAGATATTTGAAAAGGTGTAACGCGGAATGGCAGAATTAATCACAATGTGGACATGAATTATTTAATCACAAAAACATTAAAAAAAAAATGTGCACATAGAAAGGTTGATACTTTTCCATTAATAGAAGATATTCATAATTAAATTGAATTCCAATCGTTATCTCCGAATTATTTAATCATGTTAAATTCAACTTTCAATTTTTTATTTGTGTTTACACTTCCAGATGAGAATTTGATGTTAACACCAAAGTGGAATGGATGTTGACAACATTGTTTGTCATTGTCACCGCTATTTATAAACTTTTTTTTATGCGTGAAAAAAAATTAATTAAATTGAAAAAACTAAAAAAATAAATAATTAAAAAATCAAAGTGTGAAAAATACTTGATTAGAATTTTAAAAAACAATTGATTTAATTTTACAAGTCTCAAATAAAAAAAATAAATCAATTAAAATCAAACAAAAAAATTAAAAAAATCAAGTTGAAAAAACAAAATCAAACAAAAAATTAAATTAAATTAGAAAAATCAAGTTAAATCAAAATCAAATCTTTAGAAATTATAAAAATAACTTCAAAAAATAATATAATTTTAGTTTTTAATATAAAATAATTAAACTAAACCGAAACAGAACCAAAGAACCAAATTAGAACCGGTTTTTATTCTAAAATAATCTAATCAAAACTAATTAGTTTAAATTAATTTTATTTTTTAAAAAAACTGATTTTATAACTTTTTTTATAAAAACTAAATCAAATAAAAATAATCAGCCCCATCCACGCTCTTTTTTTTTTTTTGCAACCCTGCAATGATGTCAAAGATTGGTCTTTGTATAGTTGAATTTGGTAAGAAACTAAGATCTGATGAACAAAGCATGGAAACATCTAGCTGAAGGCTACTGCATTTCCCCTGCTCTTCGTGGGTTCGGTGAATAGATGGGGATGGCGTGATGGGGCTAGACAAGACAGGACAGGAGCGAGAGAAATTTAGCTGTGCGACCAACAATAAATGTCATTACAAGCTACAAAATCCAGCGTCTCTTGCAGCATAACAATGTAGAGAGTCTATAATGACAGGAAATAAAGCAAAATGACTTAACAGATGCAGGTGAGGACGACGTGCACTACTGATATTAGATCCCTGTCTTGTTTGTCAGAATATTTTCTTTTGTATTTTTCTAACGTTAACAATATTGTGAGGCAGACAAGAGAATGAATACAGCAGGTTACTGCTCTGGTCCTCTTCATAGCAGGGTATATATCAAAATTGTGTTAAAAATAGATTTGATTCCTTCGGCCTTTTTACTCATCACTGACCTGTGAAGGACAATCTAGTCCTGCCAACATGCCCACGAACAGGACCACATCGAGAACCTCAGATCGTCTGTGAGATAAAGCTTTCCATTACTAACCCCACATGCTCTTCATTTACACGAAACGAAATCATATGTGAAAATCGAATCTTGTGAAAAGAAGCCAGTTCTGTAATCTTGAATTCTTGCGTCAATGGTCGTTTCTTCAATCGGTTCAAGCTTCTCCTTATTCTCAGTTTTATACCTGATTCAACAAAATAATTGTCCAGAAAATATAAGAAAAGGGACACCACCCAGTCAACAATCAAGCTCACATGACTCTAGGAGGTGAGACAGACAGCTCAAGTCATTCATGCCTCATATTCTCAATCAAGATACCTGAAAAGCATAAACATCTTAAGTTCAGAAGCATATCAGAAATTTAAGAGGCAGGGAAATAAACTAATGTCACTGTAAACCTTAGTACTGTGAGTTTTTTATGCTTAACATGAAATCAAATAGCGCAACACCGTGTAGTGTCAAGAAGAACAAACCAAGTTGAAGCCCTCCCCTCCCCTCCCCTCCCCTCCCCTGCACCTCATATGTCTCTGCCACGCCAGGAAGCACATTTTGGAAAGACTACTTTCAGCTTCATCTGTAACCGATCACCAATTTTCCCTCCAGTCAGCTAAAAACATAACGGAAGTAGACAATCATTTCCAAGTGGCTCCCATTGAATCATAAATATAAAGTTTGCCCTAAATTGTTGCCAGGCAAAACAGTATGGAATCAACATAACATTATCTTATATGGTCCTAACAGAAACTCACTGGAGAAAACTAGTAACATTATGAAGTTTCTTCTACTAACATTTTAAGAGATAGAAAGGGTTTGCGGGCAGGAAAGGGGAGGGGATAACCTCTTGGATTCTCTTTTGGACATCACTCCATAATGTGAAAACTACAAAATCCTATCCTTAGTAGATAATGTGGAAAAAAAACCAAGTTAGATTGAAGAATATACATGAATGCAACTAATCTCAATTGTTAGAGGTACATGAGATAATATTTCTTTTGAATACATTTTATATGGGTTTTTTTTCTAAGTTATCATGTTCTTTAATTTTTATAAAAATTTTATTTATTATTATTATTTATCTTTTTTATGATGTAATTAAAATAAAATCAACTTGTTAAACCCATTAGAGTTATAACCCGAATTGTTTGTTTTTCCTATTTCTTTTGAACTCACTTAGGATACTTAGACCATTGTTGCCTTTTTCTTTTCTTTTTTTATTCTTAGGATACTTAGACCTTTTTTTTATTCTCAACATTATATATATATATATATATATATATATATATATATATATATTAAAGTATATTGGACAAAACCATATTCAGATAATTAAAGTTAGAATCTAATTAACAATTGAAATCAATAACTTGTTTCCCAAATTTGCAATATATATATTGCTAATGCCACTAGCTTGACAAATAAAATGCAATTTACAAATAAGATGAAGAGAAGGAAATAAATTTTTTTACTACAACATTTGGTCCATTAATTAGTGGATTGTATCTCCAAAATGTTGTAGCAAAACTGTTTTTTATAATTTTCTCCCTCTTCACATTAATTTATTAATTAATGGATTGCATTTATAAGTATTCTTCTTTAATTGTCTTGTCAAAACAAAAACAAAAAAGTTTTTCATGTTGTAAACTTCATATAGATTTTTAGGGAGCTACTGAGATAAATAACCAAAAATAAATAAATAAAATTGGTAAAATTAATTCTCAAGATCTAATAATTTTGATCTCCAAGAAGCTTATTTCAATAAATAAAAAATGCCTTCTAAATTAATATTCTAGCTTTATGCCTGCTCTATGTGCCTTTAAAAAAAAAAACCTCATGCTTTGCTGAGTTTGCTAGGATTACTTCACATTCACTAGGGCACAGTATCTGTTTAGTGTGATAATCACGGCAGAGATCATAATATTAGGGTTTTGATACACAAATTTTACTATCATGACATGATAACAGATTCAAGTTTACCACATAGTTGCCCCACAGTCCTCCTGAAGCATATGAACGGATTACATCACAAAAAAGCAAAATTAGAGGCCCATAGAGATTGGAAAACAGAAATGCTATCGTGACTCTACTAAGCCATAAAGGATCTTGACTTGGCTGGGTCATCAAGATTTCTCATTGAAGAAACTGATAGCTGAATATTGATTTAGAGAAACACACAAGGAGCCCTCCGCTTCTGTCTCCTTTTCTTTGGCTTCGGAGGCTGCAAAACAACCTTGATTGCAGCATCAAAGACACCCTTCACGTTCTGGGGATAGGACATTTACAGCATTAAGTTAAGCTACAATACCGAAGTGAAGACTGGAGTTAAAGCTATCAATTATTCGAACCACCAAAGTTATTAAGACTTCTCTGCTGAGGACCCAAGTCATGGTTGAACGAGTTGATTTAGATAAATAAATAAAAAAATCACTTTCTTTTTTAAAAGTGAAAAAAAAACATGTTATTTTAGAAAAATAAACAAATCAAAACAGGTTATTACCGGGTCGATTGGGTCTCAGGTTAATCCATTGAGTTAACTAGATTATGTCAACTTCTATTTGGTTTAATTTTAAATTTTTGAGTTAGCGAGTCATCAGGTTGACTAGCCAGCCCAACCAGGTTTAACAATGAGAAGCACTCCAACAGGCTACTTGCTAGAATTAGGAAATATTGGCAGAAGAATCTATGCAAGGGTGTTGCTCCTAGACTGAAAAGCAAACAATTGGCGTTAACTATTACCCATTGAGTCTGTTGGGACTGTGAGTGTAAAGAAAATGACTTCCAACTGGATTTTAAGACCAAATTGATGGCTGAGAGGAAAGAGGACATGTGATTTGGGAAAATCTTAAGTTCTTGGACAATAGACTCCTCCTCTGCTTTTTCACCAATTATTGTGTAGTAAGAGTTGGCTCTATTCATAATTCATATATTATGTTAGCTGGAGAAATGTCTGCTGTTTGTACTTTATCCAGAAAAAGGGTTAACAGGAGGATTCTAACAGCATTTGGAACTCAGTCTACAATGAAGTTTTCTGTAAAAATACTACTTTTTGTACAGAAAAAAATTAGAGTTCTCCTTTTACCAAAAAATAATAATAATTGACCAAACCTGCTGAGTCTTGGAGCTGCACTCTAAGTAAACAGCAGCACCGATCATCTTCTTTAGTTCCTCCCCCTGCTCAATGTGAAAGTTGCTGGGTTCATAAATGAAATGGAAAAACTCATTTTGTTC